CCGACGTACTCAACATAATTGCCAGCTGGTCCGGATCGCATTAATTGAAGTTTTTAATATGCCTGCCCTCTTTCTGGGGCCCAGTGGACGGTCGGACGTTGGGCTGGACGGGAAGTGAGTGTAAACACGACATGAAATGCTGCCATTGCCAGCTACTTAGACGGGACTGCAACAGGAATTTGCGTGTGCAGCACATGCAGCAATCCACATGCCGCATGCAACATGGCCAGCTCGGCTCGGACCAGAAGACCCCCTGGCAGGGCGCTGCCAACTCCTTTGGCATGCCGCGTGTGAAAGGCTGCAAAGGATGGAATTTATGAGCGGCACAGGCTCTTGTAATTGCACGCAATGCCGTTGCCATGGCTGTTGTTGTTGTTGTTATCGTTGGCATTGCAGCCAGCGAGGAGTCGGCGACCTGAACGGGTCGAGAACGAGTCGCGTCGGTCACACGAGTTTCAATTTTTCAAAATTATGAAAACAGCAGCAGCAAAAAGTTGAAAACAGCGTTGCAAAACAAACAAAGCACGTCCACATCGTTGTTGCCGCTGTCCGGCTCGTCCTGCTCGTCCGGCCCGTCCTGGCCGCATGTGGCGCGAGTCCATTTGCCACACCAAGTGCCACACGGATCGGTTACGTGGAATGTCCTTTTAATGGACTTTACACACTCACACTCACACAGCGCGTCGCATCCTTTCACCAAACCTTTTACGCTGCACTCGTGTTCCGCGCCGTTTGATTGCCGTGAATAGCTGCCGCATGATTTTCATCCTTTTCCGCCAGTTTTCATTTTTCCTAACTCTCTCTCTCTCTCCCTTCTGTTGCCCTCGTCACAGGCACGTCATAATTCCTCAGTGTCCTGCCGTGCAATTACGGTACGTTGCAGCGTGCGAGCAGTTGCCTCCGGACAGCTGACCAGTTGGCCAGCTGACTGATTCTTTGCGGTCATTAAATTCACATAAATGAAGAGTTCCAAATGAGAACAAAAGAGATTTATGGATACAAATATATACTGATATATATGTAGTAGTTCCTTCTGGGTTTCTTTTGATACTTAAAAATTCCAAGCGTTAGACAACAAACAATTAAATATAATTGAAATAATTTGGAGTACTCCTTGCAAATCAAATATTTTTCTTTATATATTGTCTATATGTATAATAGGTCTTCAGATGAGTTAAATTAACCTTGATCAAAATGTTCCTTTTATACTCTGAACTTGAAAATTATTGATTTTCGACTAATATTAATAGCTAGCTCATATAGTATATAAGAAATATTTTATTTATTTTTTAAATTTAATTTACAATAAAATAGATATTTGATTGCTTGCCAATTCAATCAAAATAAATAAATAAAATTTTTTTAAAATTATACATATGTATAAAAAATCTCCATGTTTAGCTATTTATTTAAAATACTTAATATAAAACCAAATTTATTATTATTTTCAGTCTTTTGTTGAGAAATTAATCTTATTTAGCTATTTGGTCATACGAATTGTTTACACAAATACCCAACAGCTTTAATAAATTCCAGTCTTATACTGACAAATTTGCTTAATTCTTTTTTTATTATGCTCATTTTTTTTTTCGCAAAAATATATTTACATCTTGTTTAAGCATTTGAGACAAAATCTCCATTGGCTTATGTGAATTAAAAAAATTTTATTGTTGTATACATAAATTCATTATATGAATTCCGTTTATTATATACACGTTTACATAACTAATAGCTGAGCCATCTCACTTAACCTTAATATAAGACAAACGACCATTTCGCTTGTTTGAGCCAAGCACTGAATCATTTCACACTCAGACCCCATTTGAAAAAGTCAAGTACAGTTGAATTTATGCATTTATGGCCCTTGGCCGCTGCTCAAGCTGACAAATCGTGCATTGGTCGAGTGGAGCTGAAGGGCGGGCCGCAGATGCACTGACAAAGCCAAAGGCAGAAGCAGCAGCAGCAGCAGCAGCAGCAGCAATGGCAATGGCGTTGGCTGTGGCAATGGCGACGGCGACGGCGACGGCGACAGCAACGGTGTTGGTAGTGTCAGAACTGACGCTGAATTTATTACTGGGGCTTTATTTATGCGCTTATCGCGTTGCCAGTTGTTGGCCTTAGCACGTTGTCAAGTGTTTATCTTGGCCCGAGCCCCAGAGCCAGTTCGAGAACTCAAATGGAACGAAATGAAATACCTAAAAAGCTTAAAAGCAAATTTATGGCTGCAGCTAAATCATGCGACACACACAAAAAAAAAAAAAAAAAAAAAAAAGAAAGAGGAAACAACTAACGCATGCTGCACATATATGAATATCTATATGTATAGCTGAATCTGTCGCTGTATCTGTATCAGTATCTGTATCTGTATCTGTTGCTGTATCTGTCGTTGTATTTTGTAGGAGTGCTGTGCGTCGCTTGAATGAGCCTGTCGCATGATTTAGCTGCCATGCGAGAGTCAAATTTAAATAATAAATATTTCATAGTTACAACAACAAACAACCAACAACGAAAAGCGAGAAAATCGAAAGCCAAATGTCTAAAATATTCAAAGCGAGACGCGCAAACGAAAAATTGTGCGACTAAATCAAAATGTTGTCGAAATAAAACGTTTGAAAATTGAATTTCGGGTTTCTTTTCTTTCTTTCCCTCTCTCTCTCTCTCTCTCTCTCTCTCACTCTATCTGTGCGTGTATTCATCTCTAACCAAATTGAAAACATTTGTAACGGAAATTAAAACCATTTTTCTCTCTCTCTGTTGCTCCCCCTGTCTTCCCCTGCCTTTAACTTTGAGGAGGGGCTGCGTCGGCAAAACCCCAAAAAAATCTCGACTCGTTGGCAACTCAGCGTTGGGGTCTGAATTTAAATTAAGAAATTTATCTTTTGAATACGTCTCTTCTTCTTCTTCTTCTTCTTCGCCTCTCTCTTTTCTCGTTCAACTCGTGTTCCCTTTGTGTCTGCCTTTGTTTTGTAAGTCGCCTTTGTTGCTTACAGAAATAAAAATCTCTCACCTTCTGGCGAATAAAATTGAAATTCGTTTGATTATACATTTGATATTTTGTTTTCTTTTTTTGTTCAGCTCATGCTTTAAGCGAAATAAAAATGGAATTAATAAGCAAAAGATTTCAAAGATTTTATCAAGAATTCTTGCCTAAATAAATTGAAATTTATGCCAAGTTTATTCCTCAGTCGTTTGGCATGCGCTAAACGAGTCGCCGAGATTTGCTTAATTTAATTTCTGAGATTTATTTAAGCGTGCAGTTTTGCACCTTTTGAAGCTCGAGATGTCCCCTCGGCCCCAATTTACGGCCAGCCGTGAAACCGGAGTGGGCGTGGAGCCATTCGAAATCGGAGAGCATTTTGAATTTGCATACGAAATCTCGCAACATCTAAATAATTGCCTTGAATTAGCTGATATTTAGAAGGCACTCAAATAAATTCGGCCCACAAATAATGCCATTTGTCAATGGGAGCTTCGCTCGGCTCGGCGTTACAATATTTTCACAGTGTTTATTGATCCCAATCGATTTTTAATGTTTGTCAATAAAATGCCGAAATTATGTGCTAATGGCAACTCGCTCAACTCTGTCCCCAGGTGCCCATAACAATTTGGAAACACGCATTAAATCGCTATCTATTTTTCAGCATTTAATGCCGTTCGCATTAAAATGATTTTTAATTGCCTAAAATTTCGCTGAATAAATAATCTGTTTTTATTGTGTGAAATAATGCGTGAGAAAATAAGTTAAAGCTTTACAAAGAATCTAAAATTGTAAGCAAATAAACTATGAACTTTGTGCGAAATGAGCTGAAATTTGAATATAATATGGAAGTTGTAGAGGAATTGAATTAACGAGATTTAATTTCAATTCAATTTGTTGTTTTCGGTTGATCTATAAGAAATGTGAAGAAACCCCAATTTGATCTAATTGAAGAGAAGTTTATCATAATTTAGCCTCGTGCTACTTTTATAAGGGTACTTATTACTCATTAACTAATTCATGAGGGTTCTATTATACAATTACATATGTTTGCTTCTCTTAGCGAGCTAAGTGAAAAAGAGAAAAGAAGACGGACATTTCACTTTCGTGAATGAGTATAAAAAGGAGTTTTCTAAATGAGATAATATTAAAGAAATGAACTGAATATAGATATAATGAAATGTAATGGATACAAAACGCAAAAAGCTTGCTATAATATTTAGGTAAACTTTAAATTATAAAAAATATATAAATAAAAATTAACTGAACAACGAAATCAAATTTAATTTAATCAAAACTTAAGGTAGGATGAATAGACGAACGTTAGAGGCCTCCCATTGCCTTTCCTTTTACGATGGCTTCAGGCTAAAAATTTTGAATTTTAAATAAACTCAAATAAAAAGAATACATTTTATAATTATTTGTATTATATTGTTTTATTTTTATTATTATTGTATTATTATTAATATTACATATTATATATCAAAGTTAATCTAATGGTTATGAGGTTTTTATATGTCTTTCCGCTGCATGCTTATGTTATTTTCTTACGAATATCATTAGGGAGTAGGGTCTTGTAAAATTTTAAATCAAAATTATAAAAGACAACATTTTACTTTATTGAAAATAAAAAATCAAAAGTAAGTGTCCCATTTAAATAAAAAAAAATTATAATAATAATAATTTAATAGTTACATTATTTTATTCTTACATAACATTTCAAATATTTTATTTGATTTTAATTTACATTATTAATTTATGTATGAATTTGTTCACACTGAGATCCAGCTTTGATCGTATACGTTGTTTCTTTTGAATTTAAATTAATTAATTTAAATAAAAATAAATATTACAAACATATCCTTTATCCTTGTTCGTTTGTTTCCTTAAATATAGAAACTTATAATTTGAAATATTTTCCATTTATTTTCACTTATATCACATAATGCAATTAAACTGATGAAAATGAATGCCTCAACTTTGTGAATATTTAACACATTATCCTTTCATTTTCCAATTAAAGGACGGCACACATGCACACATGCACACAGGACAGATGTGAGTGGAGTTTTACTCTGGACGACAGAAAAAATTTACAACATATGAGCATTAAAAATTCGAAATGCGTTTAGGTGAGTGTCTCTTCACATGCATATGAATAAATGTGTGGTAGTTGCTTATTTATGAATGTGTATATGTGTATATGTGTCTGTGTGTGTGTGTGTTATATAATGAAACTGGACTGTGTCGAGTGTGTTTTGATGAAATGTGGAGTTGAGAACATAACTGGCTCAGCCTGGATGTGTGTCAGTGTGCCTGTGGGGTAACCCGAGGCAAAGGATGTTTGCCAGACTGACCCAAGAGGAACGATGGGCGGGGGGGAAGAGTCGTCCAATTTGTGCCATGTGTGCCGTGTTGCCCTTTCGCAGAGCCCAAAATGAAGCCCAAAACAAGAACAAGAAATAACCAGAACGAGATGCAGATACAGAATGTAGGTGAAGTGCGACTGGCTCGCCGTCTGTCCGTCTGTCCGTCCGACCGTCTGGTCAGCTGACCGCTGGGCGTTGACCGGAGCTGAGTTCCGAACGAATCTCGAGCCAAAGCGGGCGGCATGAAACACTCAAAGACTCATTTGCATACTGGGCAAACGGTAAATGTAGCAGGGAAAGTGCTGCAACCCACAGGAAAAGCGACTTTCAATTCAATTCTCGTGAGTGTTTCTTCTTCTTCCTCCACTTCTTTGTTGGTTTTTTGTAATTAACAAACGAATTGGGTGCGTTGCCTCTTTTTGAGTTTCGTTGTTTATGAACTCACGGCGGCCATTAGAGCGCCTTTCAGCCTATCGCTGGGCGAGTGGCGAATGAGTTATGCAGTTAGCTTGATACCAATCTAATTATATGATTTATGCGGCCTGCTTAATGCTAAACTATTTTGGGCTCTGGATAAGCGCACTGCGCTGCCGCCTGATCCCCGCCAGGCGCAAATGCAACTGCAACTGCGACTGCAACCAGCCGCATGAGATAAGTGAGGGGAGCGAAGCACTGTTGCTGCAGTTCTCGCTATTTACGAGCTCGCATTTTGCATAGTTTCAAATGGCTGTTATACTCGTGCCGCAACACAAATTCAGACCCAAAACACAATTCATTTCGCCCAGCCCTACTGGCCAAATCCAGAGCGTCGCCCGCATACAAATCTGCCGTTTTGCATTTGCTGGCCATATATCATTGCCCGGCGGGTCGACCACAGCCGCCCCACAAAATGCTACAAAGCAGAGATCCAGTACAATGGGGCCGGAATAACCACAATTCAATAAACAAATTCAATCAAAGTGTTCTGCGGGAGCTAAAACTTGGATTAGAAATCAATAAGTAATTTTTTTATTCTATGGATTTTTTTTGTAATTTGAAATGGTCATCAGGCCGCATTATATAATAAATAAACAAACCTCTGCAGGAATGAAACACACATATCTACACATACATACATGATCTATACAATGTTTTGAGACAATTGTGATTATCGAGTTACTTGAAGACTTTAGCCAACAATTTTCCATCCATATGGAATGCATTGAATACATTGCTGCTTTTTTTTTTCACTAAACACTAAACAACTAAAGCTCAAATAATAATAATTTTATACTATAATAAAAATTATATAAAATATATCTAAAATATTTTCAGAAAGTCGAGTTTGCCCTTAGTCTTTTTTTTTTTTTTTTCAAATAAGACGCACTATTTAAACTTCAAAATTTTAAAAAGAATAAAATAGTATATTTAAGCGAAAGTTAGCTTTAAGATATATTAATCCAATCCTATTATAACTTGTTTTTGATAGTATATATAATTTTCGTTTTTATACGCATTGTCTTCAGTTATTTCATTTAAATTGTATATTAGCTTTTGCCTTAAACTTGTTTAGTTTCGAAGACTTTAAACATATTCTGTTGAAATTTATAATTTATCTATTAAAGGAATGTTAAATATATGTTCTATAAATATTCATATATTAAAAGCATGTTAAATTTATTTGCTTTTATATATATATTTCTATCTTTGAAGAAAATTAATTTTCTATTCTATGTATCTAACACTTTGAATTGATAAACAAATTAGAGTTTCTTATATGTATAAATAAATAAAGAATATTAAGTAGTATTGCCAATTAAAATTTGATTCCTTCTATTATCCTAAAGAATACATCTATATGAGTTACCCTATTATTTAACTTATTTTTATCTGTTATACGATTGAAATTTGTTCCATGGTTTGTGTTGCCTGGAACGGGTTTTGGTCCTGCCTGCCGCTAGCCGTTAAATGAGTGGCTCCAACAAATCCAGCGCTCGTGGGCCAAGTCCCGGTTCAGTTTCAGTTTAGCCGTTGAATGGCACCAAAAATTTATGCACATTTTATTGACCACAACACTGAGAAAAAGCCCATTTGAGTTGCTGTTCTTGTTGTTGCTGTTGTTGTTGTTATTGTTGTTGTTGTTGTTTGCCCAACAACATGTCCAAAAGTGTTTTATGGCCGTTGTGGGTGCTCAAGTGGCCATTTTGGGTTTGCTGCCAGCGAGGGGCGCGGGGGGCTGCATATGCACTCGCCGGTCTTGTCCGACAAGCACTTGGCCAGCAAAAATGTGTAGAGCCCTGAATACAGATGAGCTTAGACTCGACTAAATATGGCCACTTGCGACTTAAAGCATTTGATTTATATCAATTTAGAGCGAGAGAGGGGAATTTCTTTCGCTCTAAGCTTATCGTAATTAGAGCCAAGTCAACGACCTGGGCCAATGCGGTTCAAAGTCACAAACTCAATTAGCTGCTGATGAGCGGATGAGGGGAAGAGGGGTAGAGGCAGCTCGGCGGCAGTCATCTAAAAATAAGCGTACATTAAAAAGCGCAATGGAGTCGAGTGGAAATCTCGTTAAAAGCCAATAACAGACGCCATTAAATGCGCACGAAAATGAAATGAGAACCGCTTGACGAGGCGGACTGTCGACCGCGCAGAGATTGGGGGGCGCGGCCTCCAGAACAACAGCCACGCGCCCACTTGAGCCGTTCAATTCAATGAATTCCGACTGACCTCACTGTAGCCCAGACAAGTTCAATGGCATTTGTGCATAATAAAACTCAAGATAGATATACTGAAATATTTAGGGAACAAATCATTGATAAATAGATAAGCTGAACTATTTTATGGAATACAATGCATATGTCTTATATAGATGTACATAAATTTCATTGTTTTATTTAGTTTTTAATGAAAATTTTATATACATATATTATTATTAAAGTTGGTTTTAGCTCTAATTTTAATTTATGAATTTTACTCTTAGTCAAAGGTCAGAAAAGGTACCGAAAATATTTAACAATATCTTATAATAATATTTATAATAATATTATATCTTATAATAATATTATAAGCAAATAAATTCTGTTTGCATTTATTTTATATTTTCTCTTCTCTTTTAACTGCTCTACAAATGTAAATTGAAATCAAGTTTTTCAAATGTTCAATACGAATCAGAGTAACCTTTTCAAGTTTCCACCCAGCTTATACATATATCGAATCTTTACTTTTTCATTCCCTGCATGGACTTTACATTGAAAACATAAGTAAAAAATATTGTTAAAGATTTACAATTTACACGAAAAAAACGAAATATATTCAAATCTGGTAAATAGATCCAAGCAAACATGAATCGTGTGCTGGAGGACGTCATCAATAAAAACGCTGCCAATACGGAGCGCATAACGGCTGAGAATACCCTGGGCTACGTGGTATCTGACAACACATCAGGCAATGTGGCTGCCACGTCCTTCGACAACACCAGCGCCCAGGGCATAGTGAAGCACATGAATATCCTGTTGGCTGGACTTGTGCAAAGCGCCGTCCGTGATCTGGATCCGTCGAACTCGCTCTGTTATCTGCGTGTGCTTACTCGCAAGTTCGAGTACCTCGTTGCACCCGAGGAGCTGTTTACTATTACCGTAATACAATAAACACACAATGAATAGAGATTCCGATGCCCCGCGAGTGTTTCTAAGAAATCAAAAATGAATCACATAAATATGTTCCTTACATTAACATTTTAAAAATTCGAAAAAATAAGAAAATATAAATTTGTTTGCCTCCCAAATATATAGTGAGTCACTTATGCTTGAATTGATGAAAAGTCTTACTATAAAGGGGGAATTGTTCATATACTACGTGACTTTATAGATTATTTTTATATTTTATAAAAATATTTTAGAGATATTTATCAGAGTATAAGAATTAATAAAGTATTTTAATATTTTATAAAATATTATATAAAATTATATAATAATATTTTATAAATATATTCTATACAAATATATATAATTTATTCGTTTATCTTCATATATTGAGTTGCTTTTAGCTTCAATCTACAATCTTCCATCTTAAGCTTGCACCCCTTTCGAACGCCTGAGTCAACAATACGAAGAGGTATAGATTGCCTGAGCAGACCGAAAATCCTTTATAATACCCAAGTGACATCGGCATTATTTATGGCATGACTTCATTGGGCAGCCGGGCTGGAAATTTATCCATGAGAATGCGGCATTCTAATGCGATAATTCAAAAGATTTACTTCTGTCAACATGACCATTTTGTAGACAAACTTGGGGTGGAAATGGCCTCTGACCTTTTTCGTTTTCGTTTTCGTTTTTCTCTTTGCTTTTCTTTTTTTGCTATTTTCATCTTGCAATGGATGCTTGCTGCTATTTTAATTTAAAATGGCAGAGCTCGTAACTCATTTTAACGGCGCACCCTCCACACTATCAGAGTGCATGCGTGTGTGTGTGTATGTGTGTGTGTGTGTGTGTGCGTGAACTTGTCCTATTTTTACAGGCCCGGGCCTTTGCAGGGGTTGCTCGCTCGTTACAATAACTTATCTGGCCTTTTTTACCCCGGGCCACGGCAACGCCATAATCACCACGAAGACGCTCCTGGGGTGCGCTTTGTACTTGGTTATCCATGCTCGATCCCATTCCCATGGCCATTCTTCCATTGCTATCTCGAGGCAGTTGTCCATTGTCTTGAGTCGTTTTGTGGTACATACAGATGATATAGAAATAAATACAAATTTGTACAGCAATTGTAGATGGCGAGAGTTCCTCGAATGTAACTGGCTTTTCGTCTCGCTCTTGGTCCATTGTGAACTCCACCTTGGTGGCAAGGTCGGGTTCATTTTGCGCACTTCATTTCAGTCAGCGTGAAATTCAATTAATCCATGGACCATTTTGTTGACGACTTCATTTCAAGAACTCATCTCAGCTCTAACCCCCCCCAAGCATTCATATTTCATCTCGCAATTCGTAACACTCGGCATTATATTCAAATAAAACGCTTTGCTCTGCCTCAACTTGAATTTCAAGCTAACATTTTAATAGAATGCGCACATATCCTTTAGTATGGCCTCCCCTCTGCCTCGATCCGCGTCCCTTTGGGCGTGGCCCTGGCACATGTATTCACGCGAGCAGCTCTATGAATTTAATTAAGTTGTGCGACAAACCAAACAATGAAATACAACAACAAACAAACACGAATCATATATGTATATTAAACGGGCATTTTAGCTCTAGGGAAGAGCGTCAAACGGGTTGGCCAGCGTCAGAAGTCAGCTGCCTGCCTCTGTATAAGAATTATAATATTTATTCTCCAATAGAGCTTTGTCTATATAAATATCTATATATTATAATTAATTTAGTACTCGATGAGTCCCCATTCAAATGTTCATAAATTTATAATCCAGTTCGTATTTATTTAATTAAAATGTCTGAAATATGAAAATTTCTATTATATGTGAATATACTTATATACGCTATACGCTAATGCCTCATTCACACATAAACAAATTCCTAACTCTGAATTAGACTAGTAGCTCAGTTCCTAGAACTTATTGTCTACTATAAATATGAATTCCTGAGTGAATCCCAAAGCAAATCGAAGCTGTTGCATCGACGAGCCTGTTCCAAATCAATTAAGTTAATTCAAACGCCGAAAAGCCATAGAAATGGGATTTAAGTGAGTGCTACAAGAAGCAACTGCTAAAAATAGAAAATACACACACACACAAGCGTATATGCGCTGTACGAGTGACAGGGATGGAGATGGAGCTGGAGACTGAGACGGAACTAAGTGAGCAGCAGAAAAATCCTCTCACTCAAATGCGCAGGCCAAACCCATTTTGCCTGGCGCTGGCTCAGCCCATGTCGCTGCACTGAGAGAAATTAGCTAGCTTAAAATTTTTATTATGGAAAATATATATTAATATACATTTTATTAATATACTTATGGACATATATTGTTTGTTGATATCATTCTCAATTTCCTTATACAAGCATAACTCTCAACAAGGCAGCTCAACCGGTTTCGCGCAGTGCACCCCTACCCGAACCCGTTTTGATGAAATGCTCAATTTTTTTCAGACTCGTTCAACCACCAAACATTTTCAGTTGAGACTCGCAGCGGCGCAGACGTCATTCACGTACAACGGTGGAGGCCGTACAGACATTTTGTTGACTCGGACGGACGGAAAGACAGACGGATAGGTGTACAGACGAGAAAGAACTGAAAAGCGCTTGAAAAAATACACAATAACTAAAAATAATAATAAGAAAGTAATTATAAAAAATATATTTTGAATAATTTATTAAATTAAAAAAAAAAAAAAATTAATTAAAACAAAAATTTACAAATATTAAAAAGTCAATAAGTGAATGACATGTATTGGAAATACAGAGCGACCTGAATTACAGTGAATTTATTTAAAACAACAAGAGCATAAGATTACAATAAAATGAATATAATAAAATATAAATGCAACAAGAGCATAAGATGACAATAAAATGAGTTTAATAAAATACAAATGCGAATTTGCATAAATAAAATAATATTATTTAAACATTAAATGTCATTTGCTGCTCACGATGTTGACAATAAGCAGCAGTTGCAGCTGTTATGCAATAGATGGCCGCAGCGTATTGCATGCGCCATCTATGGGTCGTTATGCGCTGACGTCAATGCTGACTTTGAGAGTCACTGCTTGAGCGGTTTGACAGCCACTGTTACTCCTTCGAAGTTTGTCTGCAAATTAACAGCGATTTATGCTTTCAGATATGTTATCTCTATTGATATGTTAAATGTTTCGAATTATAGGGAATTTTTCAATTGTATATTTAAATAAACAATCTCTAATCACAGAAAAATGTTGAGCCATAGAATAGAAATATTATAGTTATGCTGGCTGAAGGTAAATTTTATTTGAAAGACATTTAGTTCCTTTTATATTCCCACATGCATTCTCTTAGTCTAAACTGTTATATGTACACAGCTTCATGTATCATATTTTTAATAAGGAATGCTTCAAGGCTCGGCTAGGTGCTAATTATGCAGTAGCTGATGATGAGGAAGATACAAAATTCATCTTTCCATGCCTGACTTCCTCATACTACAACTACAATTATTGCAAACTGGTAGCTCAAAGTAAACTGCATGCAACAAAAAATAAAAATAAGTAAGGGCAGTTCAATTAAAATTGATTTGATTTTGGATGGGCTAATAAAATGAAGCACTGCTAAGCCAACCAAGTGATTGGCTCTGTTGCCAATCAAAGATTTCAATTCAATTTCGCTGGCTTGTCACAACATTTGGGACAGCGCATTGAATTGCAGCGCTGAGCATTTCATTCAAAATCGGAGCAATCGAGGCATCAAGATGTCAGTAAAGGCGAGCTTGAGACAACAAGATTGCATCGCTGCATCGTTAGGATCCTTGAGTCCAATGAGGCGAGACGTGGCAACGCTCTGGCGGTGGGGCATGGCTGGCGGGTCGAGGGCATTTGGCGAGGCAAAACATGAAAATCATCTTTCAACGCGCTGCACCAGCAGCTCAATGCAGCTCGATGGGCTCCGATTGCCAGCTAGGGAAGCGGGAGCTGAGGCAGGGACTGGAGGTGGTGCACGCGCACAAGTGCAAAAAGGCAAAACCGAATACGTTAACTAAAATCCTCAACTGAGTTGCAGTCGCCGTCGCAGTCACAGGCCGAGTCCAGTCCAGTCCAACCATTTGCGCTTCACTTGCCACATCCACATCGACATCCACATCGACATCCACATCCACATCCAGCTCTTCGTACTTGCAATTCCAGCTTTTCATTTTGCTGTCGGCGTTGTCCACAAAATGCGCTGCACGCGAGCACCTCGACATGGCGCTGCATTCCGTCCGTCCCGCACGCCAGCCCAACTGGTTTTTATGGACAAGGTGGCCGCCCTCTCGCCCTGCCATTCTCGCAATGGCACAATGGCTACAATAATATGTTTCATATATAAATAATAAATATTGAATAATTTTATTTAGTATACTATATGAAATAGAATAGTTGTATTAAAACATCATTAATATTTATTATAAATAATACATAAATATTGAATAATTTTATATAGATATATGTATTTTTTATTTCTAAAAAATAATTGGATATACATATACTAAGTAAAGTCCGCCTGTCTCTCTTTGCGTATATAAAGCATTTCACTGTCTCTTAAGATGGTATTTTAAAAATACATATAATTACAATAGCTCTGGCTGTATTGATGTCTTCTAAAGAACGGAATCATTTGCTATTCACCTTCTTCATTGATATATTTTCCACCATCTCAGGGATCCCCGAATAGATAGCACATTTTTTATTATATTTTATCCCTCCTGATAGACTACAATTAATAGGCAATAAAATCAAAGCCCATTGTTATTTAAATCAATTTAGCTATTTTTGCAATACTCCAAGTTTCTAATTAATTTGCCTGAATATTTAGAACCTGAACTATTGTTTTTTTATTTTCAGCTATTTTTGTTCTTCATAAATATTGATTAAATTATAATATTTTGCTTTCCCTAGATATTGATACATCAATATCAATTCAATAAAAAAGACGAATATTGGAAGACGACAAAGAGTTGGGCCTTATAGATAGTTTGCACTGCATTAACTTAATTAAGCAAAAAAAAGTTTAATTTATGTATATATAATTCATGGAAAGAAATTCATTGTGATTAATTTAATTTTACTAATATGAAGATTTTGTTCTATTTAATTTATTCATTTATTTAATTTATTTTTATTTATTTGTTTTTTAATTAATTTATTTTTTTTAATTTTTTTTTTTTATAAGATCATTTGAATGTTAATAATTTCTGCAGACGACGTTTTTAGTGCAATATATATAATATCTAATATGAAAACATTTTTTCGTTTCTATGTGGGTTGTTTCTATATAGGTATTAACATTTTTAGTTATATATAATATTTAATTAATGTAATATAAAATAAATAAGATTGATAAGATAAGATTGATTGATATTACATTATAAGTATAATTATAATATTATAAGTATATTGTATTATATTTATTTGGCATAAACTAACGAGAATACAGTTCATTGGAAACATATAAAAATCACATCATTAAATCATGAATATTGTGCAGGATAAGTTCTATGAGACTTACTGAACTTAGCTTATAAATTAAAAAGAAAGAAAAAATAAAATATATATACTGATGCAGTTTTTTACTCAAATTGATGTATTATAGTATACTAATATATTTTATATATTTATTCACCTTCATCTACTTCGTTTTCAGTTCATTTGATGCTAAATTGTCTCTCATTGTTTCCTCTACATTTCACAGCTTTGCCTTTGACCCAGGCCAAGCACTCAGAGTTCATCAACTCAATCATCAAAGCTGCATTGATACCGTTGCTCTATGCAGTAGTATATAACTGTCTCCCTCTCTCTCTTGCTCCCCCTCTCTTTCACTCAATTGTACTCACAGCTTGGCATTGTCTGTGTGTTTGTCTCTGTTTCGGTGTCTCAGCTCGCTTTGCTTTGGTTCCGTAAATTACACTTTTGATTTTTAGTGGCCGTAAAATAATCGTAAATGTCGTGGTTATTGCGACCGAAAGTGCCCATTTTGAGTGCTGCTGTTGATTCTCAGCTGGCATTAACTGATATTCTCGTTTCGCTCAGTGCAGCGATGTCCGACGGGCTCTGGGACGGGCTGTGGGACGTGCTGCCACTGCACAAGCAGCTCGCAGACCCCCCCACAGCACCCACTGAGTGGCCTGCCGCTGTCCCCCCTGCACCTCCCTCAACCTTTGCCAAGCAGCGCTGCACTTGTTGTTTTTAATAAGTTTCTGGTTGCTCTTACTGTTGTTGTTGTTGTTGTTGTTGTTGCTATTGCTGTAGCTGGCTCTCTTCTGTACTCCTTTGATGTTTCGATTAAGTTCGGAGTTCGCGTTGTCGAAACTGGTTGGTTGAGTCTGCCATCGACTCCTGCTCCTGCTCCTGCTCCTGCTCCTCATGTTGGGCTCTGGCACACACCCGCGCTGCTCTCCCGCTGTTGGCCGTTTGGCTTAAGTTTATGGCCATTTCGTTTGCACTGTCTTTGCAGCAGTTGCCGCACTCGAATCGCCTCAGCTCAGTTCAGTTCAGTTCAGTTCTGCCATGCTGGCTGCTCGTTGAGTTGATTTTCTTAAGCATTTCACCCATTTACCTTTATACATTTGGCTTGTGCAAGACATTTTCTCACATTGCCAATTCTCCCCCTCCCCCTCGCAGTCTCTTCCTCTCCTCTCTCTCTCTCCTTCTGTTGGCTGACGCAACTGGTTGCCGATTGCCCATTGCCAAGTCGCCTTGTTGCCTCGCTGCCTCGTTGCCTCGTTGCGGTGGCCCGTTCGCGTACTCACAAATTTCGAATTTGATTTTATTGTTATGATTTCAATTGTTTTCGCAATGTAAACACTGGAGATTTCCAGCATAGAGCTGAGCCATTCTCGACGAGGGCATGTCGCCTTGTCTACTACATAATTGTGAAGAGCTCTTCTCGTACGAGCCACTAAAACAAGTTTTCGGAATTGGAAAATTAAATTAAAACAATTGTTAAAGTTTACTATATGAAAATGTGCATATCTTCATATGACTGAGACAAAAACTGTTAGCTGATGTGAAGCTGGAATAGCATATTATGTCTATAGAATTATCATAGTTCTTCTGATATAGATTCTGATATATTTAAAACATATATTTATTTTAAAACTTCTAGCCCTCATCCAGTTATTGTTATAGTTTATTATATTTTATATTATACTATTATCCTACATTTTTCTATCTTTCAACTGAAATGAAATCATATTGAGATATATCTTAAATTATTAGAAATTATTCATAATATTTTTTTTTTTTGCTCTATATAATAAATACAGTTCTATCAACTAATGCAGTTCCATACACTCAAATATACAAATGTCTTTCATTCATCTCAACCTAATTATTCCAATTTTCTCAATTTTCAACAAGTCGACTTTTTTTTTTTTTTTTTTTGACTATCGCGACAATGGCCTAATTACAATTTTCTGAAAAGTCACATCGGTACGCCCAATTTCACGTAAACAATTATAAACAAAGCCAGTTAAGGCTGATCATAATGCCAACTTCGGCTGCTAAACGATCGGCGAGCGGGCCCTCCCAGCAGTTTTTTCGAAGGCCGCGTTCCCAAAAAAAATAAATATAAAGGAAAAGATAGGCTAAAAACCAAAGCAATTCATAAATCATAAAAATGTGTCATAAAAAAGAAAAACAAAATGAAAACATGCTGAAGAACTAAACGGAACACTGTATAGCTCTGCTATGAAGCTGCCTTTCAACATGTCCTCGAGCATACAAAAAATTGCTCAAGGCGATAGAGAGAAGATTTTTTAGCTGACCTTAGAGCCAGCGAGCGATATTTGTTTTGACTCACGGCTGAGGCTTGTTATCTCGCATATCTCTAGTCCCAGTCCATAAAGGACACACACACACACACACAATCACATAGATACAGCTAGATGCGCTTGGCATTGTGCTCGTCGGCCTTTCGATTATTGCCGGCGTGGTAATAAATCATAAAAATATGTTTCACTAGCCCGACAACCGAGCGATCGTTGGATCGTTTTGGTCGCCCGCTCGTTACACGCTGCAATTGTAAATGCCTGTAAAATTGCCAAGCCGAGCCGAGCCGAGCCGAGCCTTTTGGCTGGTCTGGTGTTTCACTGTAGGTAATGCGCAACTGTGATTGGAATTGGGCTTGGATTTTTTGGGTCTGTCACGGGGATGCTCCTGCTGCTGCTGCTGCGGTGATCGCGCCCTCGAGCATCTGATAACAAAACCACTGCCAAATACCAAACAAAAGGCCAACAACTTTCTCTTTTGCCTCACATGATTTGGGCCGCATTGAGGCTCGGCTCATTCGACTTGTTTTTGCATTGCCAAAATGTTTCATTTATTCTCGAAAAATAGAAACCAAGGCAAAGTAGCAAAGAAATATTCATTTATGGTATTTGTGAGCCTGTCGCCAAGAGGCGCCTGCCTTTCTTTGTTTAAGCAATTAAAAGAAAGTCAAAAAGCATACAAAAAATTAAATTTTTAATGTAAATTTTAAATATTTAAACAAAAAAATTATAAAAATAAATTTAAAGTAAATAAATTTTTAAATAAATTTTCCTTAAGAGTAAAGTAACAAATATGGTCGAAAAACGAAATTGTATTTCTTTAAAAAAATCATAAAATTATAAATACATTTTAGCTATTTAGCAAAATTAATTATATGAGTTTATCTAACATTTGCTTTGCAGCATTTAATATGACTCACATTAAATCATCTTAAAATAGCTTTTATATAAAATATTTAAGAATCCAATTTACTTTCAATATATTTTTCTTATACCTATAATATCTATCTATACAAAATTCAATTACTTATTCCAACAATTGCATTAAATATTTGAAATATTTATTCAAGACTCACGACTGAGCTTTGAATTAATTAAAATTGTGCAGCAGCAAAATTTAATTCAATTGAAGTACATAGCATACGATGCTCTTGCGCTCGTCAGAAACAAATGCGCAGCGCATTTAAGACGCTCATTGGATGAGAATGACTTCATTTCGAAATACATATGTGCATATATGCTATATATATACATATATATAAATGGTATATTTGTCAGGCCTGTACTTGTGCGTGAGCGAGTGCATAGTGCTCTGCCTCCATTCCGAAGCCAAGATGATATACTACAAGCAGATGATTTAATGTGACCGCATATTGCGCAGGCACTTAAGAAGCAGCAGCCTTTCCGAACCCGAGCTCTAGAACGGGCGTTCCACATATGTTTCAATTCAAGCATTTGAGCTGCCATCTTGAAAACCGAAACGCGACAAGAAAAAGTATTCGTAGAAGGCCGAGTTGAAGCAGTTCGATATAAATACATGCATTCATATAGGAGACATATTGTATAGACTAATCAAACTAGAGAAGTTAGAGCATAATAGAGCATTTGTTGCAGAGATTACTAAGGCTTTTCATTCCCTTCTTATTGCAGGCCAAAAGAAGCTGCTCCCAGGCTGTAAATCAGGGCCCCAACGAGCTGTGGCATTGCGCGCATAGCTCATCAAGATGCTGGCCAAATCCGCAGTCAAAACAAATCGTTAAAATGCCATAAAAAGTCCATATGCAGCCGGCATGGGCAGCGGCAGAGGAGAGGCTGGCTGGCTGGAGGAGGCAAATGCATTCAAATAAAATTTTACCACCGTTTCCTCAAACATCATCAACATCAAACTAACGGCAGCAACATCCGAGCCACCTCATAAAAGTAACGATGTCTATGTCTATGGAAAAAAAGAGCATCTGATGGATGCAAACATCGCAATCACAGCCTCCGCTGAGCAGTTTGAGGGGTATCAAAATAATTATGGCATACGTCACGGAACTTGGCTTTTATGTCTTTTATATTGATTGTCATCATGTCACACTAACAGATCGTAAAAAAGTCGTAAAACCCAACTCTCGAGTGCAAAAGCAAATGAACGCCCCAGCGAGTCGCAACTGCACTCAAACAGGATCAGGATGCTGGCAAATGACTCGGTCAGAGTCTCAGGACACTTCAACCCCTGACCCAAAGGATCCTCGTCGAGTGAGTGAGTGAGTTAGTGACTGAGCTGAGCCGAGCTGAGCTGAGCTGAGTGAGTGAGCGGATTTGGCAGCGCATCGGCCCAAGTGGCGTCAAGTCGTAAAAAGAACATAAAATTCGGGCCAGGCGCTTGTATTAACCGCAATTTGTTTATATAGTTGTTAAAATGCCATTTCGGCTTGTTGTGCTATTCTGCTTGGCATTTAATTGTCGGCTGCCGCCTGTATTTCTTTTTACGACCACACAAAGTGGGCAAACCTAATAAAATTTATTTTTACGACAATTTAAATGGTCTCTCTTCGAATACGCCGAGAGTACCGCCTGACACAGAGCTGACAACAGGTTGTCGCTGCTCGACCATTTGTTTTTCAATAATTCCGAGATTATATAATAATGATATACTTAAGCTAATCCGTGAACGCATAACATAATTTAAGAGCCCATCAAATGGGCCAAGTAGGAAAAAAGATGAAGCAGTAAAAAAAATAAAATATTCCTTATTAAATGTTAATTTCTTAAAATAAATTCTCAAAATAATTATAGATTTATAAATAAATAATATAAATATATCCATGTTGATACAAAATATATTTAAATATTAATAAAATAGTTTTCAAATATATATAAAAAATTTTTACATTGTTCACATTTTATAATGTACATTAATTACAATATATACAAAAAACATTAAAAAATACATTTTTTTTTTTTTATAGAAAAAAGTGTTTATTTAATAACAAAAATGATATTATTTAATGAAACAAATATTGAAATATTCAAAAATTCTTTTTTTTAATATATGCACATTTTATATGTTATTTATATTATATTTTGTACATTCATCACAATGTAAAATAATAATAATACAATTTTTAAATAAGAAAATCTATAGAAATACTTAAAATATATATTTTTTATTTATTTCTTTATTTTATTTAATTTTATTTATTTATTTATTTTTTATTTTCATTTCATTTTTTTTTTTTTTTTTTTTTTTTTTTTGTAAAAAAATAGATTCTGGCTTGGCCAAGAAATATAATTTAATTTAGAGCTCAATAAAAATAAAGAATAAAAAATGTTTACCAATGACTATTCCATTCATTTTTATTTTATATCTTGAACAATTTGATTGCTTAACTCTAATCTGCCTTCAAAAGCAAATACAACTCGATCGCATCACCTTTCACGCGGGCCACAATAAAGGCGAACAATGTTTTGAGCTCGGCTCGGCTTGAGAAACCCGCGGAGATGATGACTTAATCCCACAAAACCACAAAGTAGCTCAGCAGTTCCGATGCCGATACAAAGACAGACAGACGCAAACGTCTCATTACGAGGTTAAGAATCAATTGCAGCTCAAGTCCAAGCAGCGAGCCGAGAGAGGTGAAACAAAGCCAACCGCCTCCTTATGCATAATGCTAATGGCCGGACAAAAGAGCCGCCGTTGGTTGAATAGAGCAAGAGAGAGAGAGAGAGAGAGAGAGAGAGAGAGAGACAGAGCAACAGCCGCAATGAAGACATTCGTTACAGTTAGAGTTACCTAGAGTTAGCCTGGCCTGTGAATGAACCCTTGGACACGTTCATCAAGCAATTGGCAGCATTTGCATGCGCCCCTGAGTGCGGCCTACTGACTGCTGACTGCTGACTGCTGCCTCCTGCCTGCTGGCTGCTCATCAAATCCAGCCAAATGGCAGCGAGTCCTTTAGCCGGGCTAATTGAGCGTTTTTCGTTGACTGCGATAGCTCACGGTTTTGCCTACTCGTTAGCCAGCTGGTTAGTTAGCCAAGCCCGCCCACTCCATGCGGCCGTGTTACCTGCCTGGCCGACTCGAGTGGGAAGTGGCACAAACTGAAATCCTTTTTCACTTTCCATGGCCGGCGCTTGCGAAAACGTGCAAAGTGGGTGTAAACGGATCGCGATGATGATTGTTTATTGTAATTTTTATGACTGCTTTGCACACAAACACGCCAAGGCGCCGCGCCGATGATGATGACTGCAGCAAGCCCACAGCGCCCTTACACCCAGCTATTAAAGCCGGGGGTTGGCCCCTTTGGCCCCCTTGGCCGCTTTGGCCCAAAGGGTAATTCTCTGTCTCAGCCGTGAACCTCCCTTCCGCTATGGTTGCAAGCACTTGAAAACTTTCTAATTAAGACATTTCAATGATGGCTGAGCTTCAAGAATTGGCCTGTCAATGGAGCTCGCTTTTATCTGTTTTAAATTGTTTCAACTTAGCTCTGCTCACTAATGTAAGTATTTATAGTACATACTAAATTTAGTATTTATATTAGAGTTACCTATAAGAGTTGACAGCCTTATTTATATCAATTTGAGTTAATCATCTATTTTATATTAATCAGATGGCAACGCAGTAAATCATAATTTTAATAAATTTATTACTATATGACAAACATCTGGAGGAAAAATTAAAAAAATAAAAATTAAGATTGATAAAAAAAAAAAAAAAGTAATAATAATGAATAAATTTATCGAGCACTATAGGAAATGATTTTGAGACAATTCAAGATTATAGATACTGTATTATTATTTAATTCAAATAAATTACATAAAAATATATTCAAAATATATATTTAAACTACTTGATATTTTTAATATATTTTCATTTTCTGATAGGTCAAGAGTATGAATCTGGATTGAAGCGCTAAAATACTTAGGCGTTGGATGCCTTGCCGAAGATATTAACCGACTACATATGCTGTTGAATGGTTTTTTTGTTTTCAAATTGATGATTAGGAATAGGGAATAATATTTTAAAAAATAAATAATTATAAATATGAAACAATCAATTAAGGAGAAAAACTGTTTTATTTTGGTTCAATTTAGGGATTAAAAAATTCAAGTCACATTTAGCCCTTAAGCAATTTAAAAAAAAAAAAAAAAAAAAAAGGATTTGTCAAAATATCTGCTAGCTAACTAGACGAGTTCATTACTCGTATAACTCATTCATTTTATTCATAAAAGTAATTAAATAATAAGTTAACATTTAATTAGTCATCTCTATAGTTACATCAGCTGTACGTGCCTGATTTTGTTAGCTTGAAACTTAAATCTGACTTCTAGTGGCTTAATTAATTTGTCATAGTTAATCAAACAGTGGCTTTGATAGTCATCTATCAATCCAACTGGCAATCAAGTGGTAAGTGCAGCAACTGAGTTGCCACAAGAGCAGCAACATGAGGCAATTAGCTGGCACGGATTGGCGACTGGTACGAGGAATCGTACTGCTTGTGGCCGTGATTCTGGTTTGCTTTATGGCCATGTTGGCGTTGATGGAGCGAGCAACTCACCAGCTCACCGGGGCAGCAATAGCAACAGCAGCAGCAGCAGCAGAGGCAGCGACGGCAGCAGCAGTTGAGAGCATAAATTAAGGCTGCGTTTATGAAATGGCGCTGGGGGCGTTTATGATGCATTTTTAATTGACGTTCATTTGAAGAAACGCGAAGAGCGCTTCAATTCAATTATGCATTGGCCCCTACCGCCCCACCTGGTAAACAACAGCTGCAGCCCGACTTCAGCTACAAATGCAACGGCAACGTCGACTGCAACTGCAACTGCAACTGTTGGCCATAAAAGGCGCGCGCAACGGTTTTGGGCCAAATTGGCACTTTGTGTGCAAATTTGAATTGTGGAAATGCTGGGCATAAAAATGAAATGAAAATAGCTTTGCACAATTGTGCTGAGGTCTCGGTATCACTCGCATGCGATCTCTGGCAAATATTTTAAACGATGCAGCTCGTCAAGAAATCAGCAAAGCAGCAGCAACAGCAGCAGCGCGTGGCAGCTCTTGGCCATGCCTGTGGCATGGATTGTGCCTGTGGCTGTTGCTCCTGCCTGGCCACGCCCCGTTTCAACGCACGCCCATGCTGATTCATGCCGGTTGGCAATTACGCTTTGTCGACGTTGGTGGCAAACGGGCTTCTAACTCAAGCCAACTCCTGGCCCCCTAACGAATGCACGCCCAATTGTTGCACATCCAATTGACAGTCGATCGCTCGGCAGTCGGTGGCACGTCAACTTATTCATTAATTCATCAAAATGGCAATCCCCTCCGCCAGCAGCCCACCCCCTCTTTGCCCAGCCCCTGCGCTCCGTTCCGTTCCGTTCCGGCCGTTTCTAGCCATAGTCCGCACGATTTATTTGCGATGCAGAGTCGCATTCGCCGTTGAGTCGTTGATAGTCTTAATTGGCTTCGTTTCTTCGTTTCGATTGCATAAAATAATCGTTAGAAAACGTGTTTTGCTTAATTGGAAAATTTGTATGTCTTGCCCGTCCACGTCTCCGTCCCGAGTCGCCTCCGTCCGTCCTGTGCCACAGCCGCGTCCTCGCCTTGCTCCTCCTCATGGATCTGCCGTGCGTGCTTGGCCCCACGGCTTATTGATTTTCCACTAGTTAATGAAGAAAAATGCCTCTGCCCAGCTCTCGAACAGCTCTCTTAACAAACAGCGCCTACTGAATGCTAAATTTCTATCCATCTACAAATATGTACATATATAAACATACACTTTTGCAAGCCTGGTCAAAACATTCACAGATCATGTGTCATGCGAGTTACATGTGTGTGCAACATATGTAAATACATTCACATTGAAGTGGGTTAACAATGTTTTATTCATTAAATGCAGACACAAACAACAAATCTGTGCTGCAAATTAAATAAATCCTAAATAGGCGCAATTTAAATTGAGTATTTTTTCCTATATTTTGACCAGTTACAAATTACCTCGAAATGCAAGAAAGCAAAAGAAAATTATTAAAATTTTTTTTTTTTTTTTTTTTTTGTAATGCAGTTGTATATTATATATACTCAAAGCATTCACCAAAATATTTAAAATTTATTAAGCTATTATATTTCGATTTTAAAGCTTAAAATCATTTAAGAATAAAACCATTTTAAGTTTAAGACACTTGTGAAAAAGAAATTCAAAAGTTTATTAGGTAAAAAATTATTTATTATCTTAGAGCACAAATTGTCAAAGCAAATTTACAATTGAACTGCTTATAACTCAAAGCTGATGCTTAAACTCATTCAAGATCGCTATAGTCGAACCAACTAACTAAGTAACCTTTCTTAAAATTAAATTAAATAAAAATTAAATAATTAATAAATTAATCTAAATAAATTTTTTTCTTAAATATTCATTCATATAAATATAGGCAAGCAAAATATTTCAATAGAATCCGAAAGTGACAAAGCATCAACTTTCTTTTCTTTTCATCTTTTCTAAATATCTGTCAAATACTATTATTTTTTAATATATTATATATTATATTATTTTACAAAGTTTTTATATAATATTTTATATTATATTAATATTATATTATATTTTTTTTATTAGGCTTTTAAAGTAATTTACTTTTTACATCATTAATTCATTGTTTTTATTAAATATATAAATATATGTATAAGTATATATTACAGAAATGTGTATAAATAAATTTAATAAATTTAAAACAATATAGGTTTAAATCTCACAGCTACTCC